ACTATTAGCTATAAAAACAGCTAAAAAATAAGCAGGCGCTTAAGTAACAGGACGGCTAGAGCAGCTAAAAATAAGGTCCTATAAAGCAGCTAAAGGCGAAGGAATATAAACCGCGACTATTACTACTTTAGTAGGAAAAGCCTATATCGCAAAAAAAGAAAGGAACCCGGCAATACAGCCTAACTCTATTCCTATTTAGAACTACAGATATATAATCCTATTAGTTAAAATTAGTAGAAACCCGGTAAAAGTACTACTAAACAGCGGCACGCAGGGAAATTTTATATTCTATAACTTTATTAGGAGAAACCGGATCCTTTAGTAATAGAAAAACAGACCTTATAGACTATATATAGTAGATAGTATACCTATATAATATAGTAATAGGCAGGTAACTATAGAAACTTAACTAAGTATTATATAGATTAAAGAATATAGAGAAACTATTAGTATAGATATAATAGACACGGTAAAATATAATATAATTTTAGGTATACTATAGCTAAGATAGCATAACCCCTAAGTTAATTAGAAGTCTAGTAAAATAGGAATCTAATCGGAAAGCGGACTAAAAGGCACCCCGCGCTAGAATAAGCCTAAGCAAAAATAAGATATTAATATAAATACCTTAAAAGGCAAAAAAGCCTAAGAAGAAAATAGGGCAGCGAGCTAATAGTAGCCTAGACCCCTAAATAGCCGGTAGATAGCTAAGGCAGTAAAAGCACTAAACGTGCTAGAAGAGTATAATAAATTTAGAAAAATCTTTATAGAAAAGGTTTAGAATACACTACTAAAGCACTAACCTTAGGATTACTATATTCCCCTAGTACTAGGCGAATAACCGCAGTTCGGACCAATTTATTTACTAGCCCAGAGCGAGCTAGAAGTGCTGGAAAAATACCTAGAAAAGAACCTAAAGTAAGAATTTATTAGACTATTAGAATTGCCTGCAGGTTACCCTATAATATTTATCCTAAAACTAAATAGTAAGCTACACCTTTATATAGACTATAGATAACTAAATAAGATTATAATTAAAAACCGCTATCTATTACCTTTAATCTCCAAACTTAAAAACTAACTATATAAGGCTAAGTACTTTATAAAAATAGACCTATATAAAGGGTATTATTTAATTAGGATAAAAAAAGAAGAAAAGTAGAAAACGGCTTTTAGAACTTAATATAGATACTTTAAGTATATAGTAATACTGTTTAGGCTTACTAATACGCTAGTAATATTCCAGGTAGTAATTAACTTAGCACTAAGGGGCTACTTAAATCGGTTTATAGTAGTATACCTTAATAATATCCTTATATACTTAGAAACGCTAAGCGAATATAAAATACACGTGTAAAAGGTACTTAAAAGACTTAAAAAATACAACCTTATAGTAAACCCGGATAAGTGCGAGTTCTATAAGTAGAAAGTTAAATTCCTAGAATACGTTATTAGTCTAGAATAGATTAAGATAGAAGAAGGTAAAGTATTCTCTATTTAAGAATAGCTAGAGCCTATAAATTTAAAGGAACTATAGTTATTCCTAGGGTTAGCTAATTACTACAGGCAGTTTATTAAGGGCTACTCGAAAATTGCAGAGCTACTTATAGAATTTACTAGAAAGGATATTAAGTATAAATAGACCTTAGAAGTATAGAGCGCATTTAATAAACTAAAGGTATAGTTTACTTTAAAACTAGTATTAGCAATCTTTAATCTATAAAAACCAGTTACTATTAAGAGTAATATATTAGATAAAGTATTAGAAGCAATACTTAATTAACTAAATAAATAAGGGAAGTTGTACCCTATAGCGTTCTACTTACAGAAGCTAAGCCTAGCTAAGCTAAACTATAATATCTATAATAAAGAACTGCTAGCTATAGTAGAAGTATTTAGTTAATAGAAAGTTTACCTTAAAAAAGCAGTATATATAATATAGGTGTATATAGACTATAAAAATCTAATATACTTTACTATAACTAAGGAGTTAAACAAAAAATAAGTAAAATAGTTAGAAAAACTAGAAACCTTTAACTTTAGGATTATATATTAGAAGGAATCTAAAAACGCTTATATAGATATATTTAGCCGAAGGCCGGACTATATAGAAGAAGCCGGAAAAACCAGGTAATCTATACTTAGGAAGAGAAGTCTAGGAACCCTTAAATTTAACTATATATAAGTAGTAGCTGCTTACCGGTTTAAGGATAATAAGTAGTATAAATAAATTAAGGCAGCCCAGAAACTAGATTAAAAAAGCCGGGATTTAGCAGGTTATAACTAGCAAAGTTTGCGCCTAGAACCTATAAACTAAGAATATAGAGAAATCTAGAACAGTATTATTACCTTATAGGATAAGATATTTATACCTAAAACCTTATAAAAAGAGCTTATTAAGGAATTCTATAGTACACCGGTGTATAGGCACTAAGAAGTGGAAAAAACACGGGAAAGAATTGCAAGAATATTCTATTTCCCTAGACTTCGGAAACTAACGGAGAAAATTGTATATAAATGCGAGTGCATAAGGAATAAGTTAGTATAACACGTACTATACGGACTAATAAAAAGTCCCTCTATACCGGAAAGGGTATAGAAATCTATTATATAGAACTTTATAGTTAAACTACTATAGTCTATTAAACTTATAATAGGCATAAAGTATAATATAATATTAGTAGTTACGGACTAATTAACTAAATATATATACTTTATCCCTTACTAAAAAGTATTAACGTAATCCACAAGTTAGTGGCCCGCACAAGCTAGTGGCCCACCCAACCACGCTACCGAGGCCAAATATTCCGAATTACTCCAC